ACGCCTTTAGTATAGCTTTTCAATTGGAAATTGAAGAGGACTTCAATTCATATAAGCCACGAGATTCGTCGAGAAGTACACTTTATTCGTATGACTGAACAGCTTGCGATGGAAAGACATGTTCTGGGTCAAAATCTGTACTGCAATTGGTGGAAGACACAAATAGTGATGGAATTCGGAAGAGATGGAAAGTTGGTATATCTGCATCATAATGAATAGCCAAATCTACCTTCATTTCGTCCCGCCTTAAATCCCAACTGTTGGCATGCTTAGCGATCCCAGGCGGGAAGACAGACACGTCACCGGATGAAGTCATGTCGTGGTAGGCCTTGCCCATCCAAGCCACGATAACGCGATCTAACGCGTAGATCTGATGTCAGAACATAACCCCAAATGGTTGTCAGCGTGAGAATAAAGTTGGCCTATCGGGATTGTTGTCATCGCAAAAAATTGTTTTCCGACTTCGCCCTGATTTCAGAACGAGAATCCTCCTCAACTCCTCTGCTTGTCAATAATGACCATCGGCTTTCGGAAATTTGTTGACATTTTGGAGTGATGCATGAATTTGCTTGGAAAACTATTACTCTAGTCTTTGTCAATTAAAAAAATTGCACAAGTATGATTTTCACTGGGCAAAATCAAACTAAATTGTCGTCAAAATTGCATTTGGATTAAAATAGGATGATTGTGGTGAAGACATTCACGTCGAATTAAAGTATTTGTGATAAAGAAAGCAGTAAATCTATCTGATCGGAAGACGAAGTTTGATTTTCGTATTATTCACGAAAAATAGGTGAGTTTCAATTAATATCTTGTTGTAGGGACTGTAATCTCGTTGTAAATTGTATGAGTGATACAACCGTTTAACTTTACTACTAAATTCAGGATGACGCAGTCCACGAGACCTCGAAATTTTTTTCGGATGAAACCGAGCTATGCTGCCGTCCATCATATGACGGACATCCTCAAAGATATAAGATATTCTTGCAAAAGTCGCAAATTAAGAGAACTGTCCGGCTCCATTTAACATGTTGTGTACATTCCTAAGGAAACAATATTCAAACTTGGATGTATATAGAATGGTTCGGTTAGTAACCTTATACTCGAGTGCGCATCTGTGTATGTTCGCTTGTTAACGTCTATCGTAATACGGGCCATAACTCAGAGTAATTAGAAGGAAACTTAAATTCAAGCTGTATTATTGACGGTTCTTTTAAACACTAAGGCTAGTTTTATGCATAAGATTTCACTTTTTATGTATAAAATTAAGAAATTTGCCTAATTTTGGCTAGTTTAGGCTAAAATTCAAATGAATTTGTCAATTGTTTGGACCAGCAATCAATTCCGGTTTAATATATTATATTATATTTTAAAGTGGTTTCAAATTAAACAGATATTACAGTCCATGGGACCACTGGATGAACTTTCATAGAATGGGGAAGGGATTGCGTTGAGTATATCTTCCATTTTAAGACTTACTAACCCATCCATGAGTAGTATTTATTTCACCGTTGATGGTAAATTTAATCAGCAGACACAAGGACCTGCG